CACACACACACACACACACACACAGGCACGCACGCACGCACGCACGCACACACACACACGGGTGGAATGGTGGTTTAAGTCAGTGGCTCTCAACCTTACTAAAGCTGCAACCTTTAATACAGTGTCTCATGTTGTTGTGCTGACCCCTAACAATAAAATTATTTTTATAATTGCAATCTTTCTGCTGATATTTATATTATGAGAAATACAGTGTCTCATGTTGTTGTGCTGACCCCTAACAATAAAATTATTTTCATAATTGCAATCTTGCTGCTGTCACGAACATAATATAAATATCTTTGTTTTCCTATGGCTTAAGCAACCCCTGTGATAGGCTCATTCAGCTACTCCCCTCTTCCCCGTGGGGGGGGGGGCGGTTGTTGAGTCCTACAGGTTGAAAACAGCTGGTTTAAGCTGTTAAGAGCATTGGCTGCTCTCTTCAGAGGACCTGGGTGTGACTCCCAGCATCCACATGGTGACTTAGAATCATCTGTAACTCCAGGTCCAAGGGATCTGATGCACAGGCGTGGTACACAGTCAGTCATACAGGCAACCACCGTACACATAAAATAAGTCTCAACACGGGACAGAGAAGCAATGGCCCTTTGGTTGGTAGAATTCCTTAAGTTACTTGCCGTTAGAGGAATAATGGTAAATTCATGGAGGAATCAGTGTTTAATTTTTCAGTTTTTTTTTTTTAACAGATAATAAAAGATTGAAACATAATTGAGTTTCCTAGAAACCAGGGGGGAGAAAGTCCTGGCTTTGTAGTTTTTCTACAGTTTTAGAACAGAAAAAAAGAAATGTCTTTTTATCTAGCAGTTTTGATTTCTTGTTCTATTTTGCACCCTTTGTTTTAACCCCTTTTGATTTTTTTAAAATCATTTTCCTACTTCTACTTTTCCTATAAGTGCTCCAGTTACCGTTTGTTTTCTTAATGATGAACAGTTTTCAAATAGTTTGGATATAACAAATTAATGCCATTTTGACTTTAATATTTCCTATTTTAAATTTATATAGGGTAGACATTTTCAAGATGCCAGGGTGAATATCAAATTGAATAAGTTGCAGTTCTTGATTAAGGAGTTCATTGAAACCCCCTTTCTTTCTAGAGTTAAGAGTTCATGCTTCCTGGAAATTGAAAATATTCATAACCATCCTACTTAAATTTACATTGTTCATTTTTCAGTAGCATTATTTAATAGGAGTCATCCTAACAGATGAATGATCTTGACACCACAGTGTCATCGGTGAGACCAGGTTTCACTTTTTTGAAACCAAGCAAAGGCAATCTGCTACTGGTATGAACCATTTATGGCTAAGAGTCCCACACAGATTTGTACAGTATGAGATTTGGTCATCCCTAGCCATAGTTAAAAAGACTTAATGGCTTTAGTTGGCATTTTCTTTGGCCACCAACCAGCTCCCAAATAAGACACAAAGACTTAATACTAGTTACGAATGCTCAGCCTTAACTTAGGCTTGTCCCACTAGTTCCTTTAACTTAATTTAATCTGTTTCTTTTCATCTGTGTTTAGCCTCAGGGCTTTTTACCTTATTTCATCCTGTATGCCCTACTTTCCTGCTTCCTCCGTGTCTGTCTGTCTGGCCCCTCTCATCTCCTTTCCTTTCTCCTTGAGCCTAAATTCTTCCTTCTACTTACTCTCGATGCCTACAAATTCTGCCTACATCTCCTCCCTCACCATTGGCCATTCAGCTCTTTATTAGACCAATCAGTTGCCAACAGGAGGCAAAGTTAAACAGCAACACATCTTTACATAATTAAACATATACAACACATCTTTACATAGTTAAACAAATGCAACACATCTTTGAATAGTTAAGCAAATATTCTGCAGCAGACTGGCAAGATTGCTCAGCAGGTAAAGGCACATGTCATCAAGCCTGATGACCTGAGTTTGACCCCTGGGACCCACCCATATGATAAAGGAGAGAAGCTTCTACCCACTATTCTCTAACCTCAACACATGGGCGTAGGGACACACACACTCACACACACACACACACACACACACACTGCCAACAACCACAATAATGTGGTTTTAAATTGGTGCTTACATAGAGATGGGAAATACAGTACATTGCTGAAGTCTCAGAGTATAGTTTTTCCCAAAGGCTGTCTGCCCTTGTCACTCATGAGTTCTAAAGGCTGCATAGGGTTGGAGTTGTCTAGGTATGCCCAGTGATGGGCTGGAGCATGTGTGTGAGTGCCACACAGTGTCTAGATGAGATAGCTACTGAGGGTTACAGAAGGCAATTCATGCCTAGGATCTGGTGTCAGGGCCTCACTGCAGCTTTCTAAATACAGGCTGTGTGGCTGTTTAAACTCCTCAGTAAGCAGAGTGGGTAGACAGGGCCTGCCAGACACACACCTCCAGGGCCTCTGCTGGGTCTAGCCCCTCAGGACAGACTGCTTCCTCTTACTCCTTGAGGGCAGAGGTAGGTATTTGCCAGCATTCCTTGTTAGTTTTATTGCATCCTAAGTATGAAATATTCCCTAGTCTTCACACATACTCAATTTCATTTTAATTAATTCTTTTTATTGCTTCCCTATACCACCAATACTTCAGACTTCTGTATATAATTCCAGAGTATGCCTGAACTAGTGAAACTTTGACCTCATCACTGAAATTCTGCTGTTTCAGATTCGGTGTGAAGAAGAAGCCCATTTACATTAATGTCATCAGGGACCCTATCGAGAGGCTTGTTTCCTACTATTACTTTCTGAGGTTTGGGGATGATTACAGACCAGGATTAAGGAGACGGAAACAAGGAGACAAAAAGGTATTATGCTTACTGTTGATCATAAATGTACTCCTCCTTCAGTGTGGACATTTTGCAAGGAGCTCAGGACTGTAGAGAAGCAATGGTGAAGTGTAACACAACTGCTGTCCTCTAAGATAATTCTGTGGCTGGACTGTTGCAAGTGTACATATTGTATTATTACAACCCTGCTGTATTAGTTACTGTTCTTGCTGCTGCTATGTCAAAATACGTGGCTTATTTCAGTTCAGGGTTTGAAGCTATGCATCAGGGTGGGTAGGCATGGTGGCAGGAGGGAGAGGTGGCTGTATTCAGCAAGCGCACACACATACATGTTCCGGTATACTTCTCTGGAAATGCCTTCCACAAACAAAGCCAAACTTTGTCTCCATGGTGATTTGAAGTTGACAGTCTGTGTTAACCATTATGGCATTACACCAACAATTTTCTAGGGGATCATTATTGATGAATCTGGTTTTGTACATATTTTGGTTCTTAGTCTTAATGATGGTGTCTTAGTTGATTTTCTGCTGCTGTGAAGAGACACCATGACCACAGCAACTCATATAAAGAAAACATTTAATCGGGTGACAGCTTACAGTTCAGAGGTTCGGTCCATTATCATCATGACGGGGAGCATGGCTGTGTGTAGGCAGACATGGTGCTGAAACTGAGAATGCTGCGTCCTGCAGGCAATAGGAAGTTGACTGAGACACTGGGTGGTATCCTGAGCATAGGAAACCTCAAAGCCCACCTCCATGGTGACACACTTCCTCCAACAAGGCAACACCCACTCCAAAAAAACACACCTCCCAATAGTGCCACTCCCTGTGAGATTATGGGGTCCAGTTACATTCAGATGACCACAGATGGCAATCTACATTTACTTTAATCATTTTATGAAAACTGTTTTGCTACTGGCTTTAAGCAAGGAGAGAGCTATGACCGAAGGGCGTGTGTTGTAGCACTTCCTCTGGGGTATCATCAGAGTCAAGTTCTCAGAATCACACTGGATTTGTTCCTTCCAGTGTTAATACCTTCATAGGTTTCATGCTCAAACATTCCCCAAGGTAGGGCCAAGGAGATGACTTAGCCAGTGAAGGGATGGTGTTTGCTGCCATCCCTCACAACCTGAGTTCTGTTTCTGGTACCACAGAACTGTCCTCTCATTGTGGCACGCGCACACACAGACAACACCTCTCCTACCCCACAAGCAATAAATAAACGTAGTTATTTAATTAACTAAGCCTTAAGAGATACAATCTAACATGATCTTATACCTACCTCTCCGTAGCTTAATTACCCCATGCACCCAGCCCAGTGTTTCAGCCACACGAATTACAAATGCCCTTAGAACTCATTATTGCTTTATACTTTTTTTGTGTACATGTTGTCCCTCATATTTAGAGTTTGCTTACATTTAATGTCAAACTTTATCATTCCCTCTGCCATGGGTTTGTCTCTGATGCTCCCAGACTAAGATAGTCGCGTTCCTTTAACGGTTCCCATGGCTCAGTGGTTAGGAACACTTCTGGGAGGGGTTCCCATGCTCAGTGGTTAGGAACACTTATGGGAGGGGTTCCCATGGCTCAGTTGTTAGGAACACTTATGGGAGGTCCCAGTTGGGCTCTCAGAACATATGTTGTGTAACTCACAGCTGTGTGTAACTTCAACTCCAGGGGGCCTGATGCCTTCTTATGGACTCAGCAAACATGTGCATGTGTGTGCAATGGGCATGTGTGGGTTGTTGCACACACATGAATGCATAATTGCATGTATACATATACCCAAATCTTAAAGAAAATTAAGGACCCCAGAGAACATTTGTTTATGTAGCCATTTGTTAATAGTTACCAATGTAAGTACATTTCATAGTTTACACAGAAAATTATAGCTAGTTTTATTTTCCCAGTTTATTTGGGGGAGGGAGTGCCACAGAGCACATGCCAGATGCCAGTGTGGGCATTGATTCTCTCCTTTCACTTTGTGGGTTTCAGGGATTAAACCTTGGTCGTCAGTCTAAGGGTAAGCTCCTTTACCTGCTGAGCCATCTCACCAGCCAGGGAACTGTCTCATGTTAGCAAATAAAGTTTTGCTGCTAAGAATCATCTTTCCTAAAAAAACAAAGAGTGGCATCATTTTACATTTCAGAAAATCTTTCAATATCTGATTTAATAAAGATAGCCTGATTTTCATATTTTTAATTCAGTCAGTCCAATCAGTTGTACTTTTTTTTTAAGTCTATAAAGAAAATCCAGCTTCATGCAAATATGTAATTGAAAAAGAGAGTTTTAATAGCCTTTCCCCAAATTTGAGGCTATTTTTAATATGACATTGAATTTGACAAGTGGAAAGTCCAAGATTCGAATGTGAAGCCACAGTAAGCTGTTTACAGATTAACACCAATTGATACCTTTGATGTTTTATGTGGAAGTTTTAGTCAGGAAGTTTTCAGACATCTGAATTGTTTCATACAGGGTTCTATTGGACTCCCAAGAGTTAATGCATTTTGATTGTACTGTATCAAAACTTCATATTCATTAACCTAACTACAGATGTTATCAACAAAAGCTTATAAGTGCTGGAAAACTGTAGGCTTATGATGTCAAATACACATTTCCAAAATGTTATTTCTCACTTGGAAGCTTAACTTTTACCACCGGCTACTGTAGGTTCCTCTACAGCAGTGCTGTGACTGTCTGGAGATGGTCATTTAGCCTGTGCACTCCTGTAGGTTCCTCTACAGCAGTACTGTGGCTGTCTGGAGATGGCCATTTAGCCTGTGCACCACTGTAGATTTGAGGCTGTTTAAAACGATTGTGGCCTCTACCTAGTAGCATCTTCCACACCTCAGATAAAGAGCTCAACCTGTCTCCAAGCATGGCTGATGCCTCCCTAGACCAGTTTGTGGCAGGCAAGAGCCACAAACTGACTGTCACTCAGTTATTTCCTTTCAAGTGACACAGTTGACTTGTTATAAGAAAATATCACCAAGTGTGGTAGTGCAACCTTTGCAGACAAAAGGGAAGGGAGAACAAGCCCTTTCCTTCTAAGCAAGTGACCCAGAAGTTGCCCACATTTGTTTTGCCTTTGGTCTACTAACAAGCCTGTGGCTGTATGGCCACACTGTCCCCTGAAAGAAAGGCTAACAGACCTTTAGGAGATAATGTTAGTCTATCTGAGTCAGGTAGCAGAATTAAAACTACTGCCTTAAAAAAGATCTTCTAAATTTTCTTTCCTGAAAGACTAAAATACATGAAGAACACAGGAACCAGGAGTTTGCTAATTAAAGAATTGAGTTAAAATAGCCATCCGGTATGATTATTCAGTTTTAATTCAAATAGTATGCATGAAATCCTCAGAGTTGCCTGCATATAGTCCACATTGCATACATAGTAAATTTATGGAAACTTTTAATAATGCAGTCTCCTAAGATGCTGCTTTGTTATATGTAAGCCAACCCTTTCAGTGTCTTTAAATTCACACACACACACACACACACACACACACACACACACACACACACACACAC